CCAAGGAGAAATTTACTAACCAGTGACCAGCTGACTGAATAGCTGCAGATGGTCAACTGTGGAATGTTATGGTTTACACATAACCATATCAGTAGATTTCTGATGTTCAACAAACTCAGTTTCCACGACCTGAAGAAATGATGGAATAGGGGGTGTAGAGAAGCAAAGGAGGCTGGAAGATTCTGGAACAGAGGCGTTAACAGGAACCAACCTGTGAAAGGAGGTCTCTGCATATTTAAATAGTTATAATGTTGCTTTTTTTTTTTTTTTTTTCGGTAGGCGGGCCTCCCACAGCCACGGCCTCCCCCGCCGTGGAGCACAGGCTCCGGACGCACAGGCCCAGAGGCCATGGCTCACGGGCCCAGCCGCTCTGCGCATGTGGGATCTTCCCAGACCGCGGCACAAACCCGAGTCCCCTGCATCGGCAGGCGGACTCTCAACCACTGCGCCACCAGGAATACCCTATAATGTTGCTTTTTGACACTTCACCAACTGAGGTGTTAATTCTGACTTAAGAATCTTTTTTTTAAATGAATGATTTCAAAGAAAAATTTGGATTGTAAAGGTATGAAAATATTTTTTTGTATGAGAAAAAAAGTGGGATTCAAAAAAATTTCTGTAGTGACTGACATCACTTACGCTAAGAAATAAAGTTAAGGCTTTGTTACCTAAAGACAAAATCAATAAACTAAGAATGACAGCTATCTGGGGCCATTAATAATTATAGCATTAGATTGCATTTAAATGAGTCATTCCTAAAGATATTATTTTACAGATTATATACGTTAATACATTAATTAACCCCTCAAAGGGGATAGAAATAATCTCTTGGAAAAAAAATCCTGCTAAAATTCAATCTCTTGGCTAAGGGGTTTTGGGTAAATATAGTATCATGAAGCCTCATCAAAACTCATCAAAATGAATTTCTCCAAGTTTTCTTTATTCGTTCATTCATAAACAAAATTAATATATACATTCAATATGCACTGAAGGCCTCTCCTATACCCAGCACTGGCTTGGCCCTGGATTTGGAAAGACCCAACATGCGGTAAATAAACTGAAAGGCAAACACATTCTAATGAATACAGCCTAAATTTCCCCAAATGTACTTATAGACACCCTTCTCATATAGAGCTGATTACGGGTGGACATCACCCACCTCTGTCCATGCAGTCTTCAACTGAGTTATCAGATTACTAACCTGGGTAAACCTTATTGAAGACTGTGATACGAATGATTCTCGTATCCAAATCTGTATACACTTTTCAAAAATATATATTATTTCAGTGAAGTAAACCTGGTTTAACATCCACAATAACTCAGTCACAGAATTTATAAGCTTTTAAAGTAAAAATGAGTGCCATGACCAAGATTCTCTAGTCATAATACTGTATTACACATTATAGGCCTACTGGAAATGGTACTTAACTCCACCTTTTTTCAAGTCATTATTTAAGTTACATCACAACCTTCATCACCAATTCTGGGAGGGCAATACTGTCTCCCTTTTAGGTTAGATGTTACACAGTCAGTGCACAGCTATGCAAGGGCGAGGACCACCCCCTGACTCAGAGGCCCAGGACCACTTCCCACCACATACATGCCTTCATGGCTGGTAAACAGTCTGCTCCAATTAGACAACGGTGATCAGTTTCATTGCCAAATAACTTTACTGAACCAGTTGGTTAGTGGAACTTGAATTTCTGGCTCCAAGCCGCACCTCCCTAACTGCCCTGTAACCTGGAATCCTCCGATGGAGGTGATGAGGGAAGGGGTGTGTAGTGGTTAGGGGCTTATGCTTGTGGAGGCAACAGACCTGAGTTCCAATGCCAGCTCCACCGACGACTCTGTGACCTTGTACACATTATCCCACTGCCCCAAGTTTCTGCATCTTTATCAGCAAAATTAGGATGCTGCTTAATAATAACACTAATGTTTAACAACCACGTATCCTAAGAGCCCTCCTTATATTACCCCATCTAACCCTCATAAGGGTTTGGTTACAAGGAAGCGGTGCTGCCAGAGTGTGACGTTTTATTACCTGGCTCCGGAACCCCTGCTCCCTGGGGAGGTGGTTCTGACCTGGAAAGCAGCTTTCCTGATTCAGTAAAGCGGGGGTGGAGCCTAGGAAGGTGATCCTTAAGAAATACACCAGGGGTATCCTATGATCAGCTAAGTTTGGGAAACACTACGTGGGAAAGGATATAAAACTTATAGATAAATAACCAAATGCCCTACCAGTTAAGGGAAGATTCTTACCCTCTTTCAGGGGCAGTATAAATATTTAGATGACTCCATGGCCACTCAGGCTGGTTGCTGGCTGGGTCCTGTCGAGGAAGGCTCCCTGCCCTGTAGCCTGGTCTGCTGAGTACCTACCCTGACAACCCACGGAATTGAGAACTGGACTTGAACCACTGCAATCTGGACTAGAGTCCTGACTCTGTCTCTTCCTTTCTAAGCATGTCACTGGGTAAGTCATCTCACCTCTCTGAACCTCAATTTTCTCATCTGTAAGATGGAGATGAGAGTTGGCTGACACAGTTGGAAGAATTAGGAAACTGAGGTGTGCAAGAGGGCTTTATTGACCTTTATTAAGTGTAAAGGGCTAAACAAAGGTAGGGTCATTACTAACATGTCATTCTCCAAGCAAGGAATCTCCTGCCCTCATTGGCTCAAGTCCTGCACAGAAACACAGTGGCTGGTAGTATTGGTGGGGTTGGTGGTGGGGGGAGGGTGGGGAATGGAATGGCACTTGGCTTCCTGAAGATGATGCCTAAGAAAAATGATTTTCTCTGAGATAAGCTTTATTTCAAACTTTTAGCTACATGCCAAGAAAATGTTTAGCTACATGCCAAGAAAATGCTTAACGACTGGAAAAAAAGAAGAATTTTCCAAAACTTCACAGAAAACAAACTAGCAGGGAATGTGCTTTCTCAGGGACTTGGTAAGAAAGACCTTTAACCCTGGCTAAAGATTAACAACGATAATTAAATTATTAAACTGGAAACTTATTGTTAGTTATGTTTTAACTAATATAATGCAGTTGTTTACTGCATTTGAAAGAGTTGAAAAAGAGTCTGGTTGCTCTTGGTTTATTTAGTTAGGGCCAGAGAGGTGTGATATACCCTATCAAAGTCACTATAGGGGGACGTGGCTGAGCATCCATTGTGTGCCAGACACAGGGTGTTCCATGCGTTACTAGACTGCTAAATTCTCACTTCAGCTAAGAAATTTCCCCCTACTTTGCAGAGTTACTCAGAGAAATCAAGTGCCATGCCCAAGAAGGCAGTCCGGCCTGACTTTATACCCCACTTCTGACCCTTGTGGGGCCAGAAGTGATGTGTCTGGCAAGGGCAATCACATTCATTGAAGGCACACATTTCCTAATTTGGCTTTGTGATGGTCGTCCACACACAGCATTTCTTTCTTATGGGCATGGCCACACAAGAGATCAAATTATAGATCAGAGGGGCTTCCCTGGTGGAGCAGTGGTTGAGAGTCCGCCTGCCGATGCAGGGGACACGGGTTCGTGCGCCGGTCTGGGAAGATCCCACATGCCGCGGAGCGGCTGGGCCCGTGAGCCATGGCCGCTGAGCCTGCGCGTCCGGAGCCTGTGCTCCGCAATGGGAGAGGCCACAACAGTGAGAGGCCCGCGTACCACAAAAAAAAAAAAAATTATAGATCAGAAAGTTGAATCCTGTGCTAAGAAGCAGATTCTTTCAAAGGGCATTTCCACTCAGCAATGGTTTTCTGTTGCATACCCTCCTCTATTCCAGGGACAGGTCTGCATGGAGACATGGGGCCTGTGTAGTAGAATCAGGAAGCCATGGGGAATGACTGTCTTCTGTCTGTCTCCCTGCCACCATACTCCCTGCCTCCACTCCCCATCCGCATGGCAGATCCCATTCTTCTATGAACTTTAAAACACCCAGGTAATAATACAATCATTGTTCATACTCTGGTGAACCTCAAGATCAACTTAGGGTTTCCTAATCAATTTCTTATGATGAGTGAAGTTCTTATCCATTTCTTAAACAAAATTCTATTAGTTTTTACTTGAGATGGTGGTATCAGCCTGTAAAAATAATAAAGTACTCCCGAACTGTAGTATTTTGGACATATTCAGTTGAATATTTTCCCACCTACTTTAAAGAATCAAGTAACAGATTACATATACTGTGTATGAAAATATTTCACAAAGTAATAGCAGTTAACTAAAAACTTAATAACTTTGAACTTTGTATAATTAAGTATAGGTTCGATATGTATTCTGACAATAATTTTTCACTGTCTAGGCAAGAGTCAGCCTTTTAAAAAAATGACTCAGTGCTGATTTCTTACATTTAACCTCAAACAAAAGGTTGGTTCTATTCACAATTATACTCCAACCGAATGCATCTAACCACGGCTTGCTTAGTAGGATGTAGATGCCGTATTTCATTCTAAAGCATCAGAGAGCAAAGAAGTTGTATGATGGATCTGCTCTAAGGATCACTGCTGCTCTGGTTGTCTTCTCAGCTTCCTCTGCAGGAAGTGAGGAGGGGGAAGGGGTCCCCTCCCTCTGACAACATCTTTCTATACTCATCCACATGGGATTTCATAAAACTTTTACCGAATATTAAAAGCATTCTAAATATTTTCCTGATCCTGAATTACATCTACCCCTTGCTATACAGCTTCTTCTCTGACAACTGCAACCACAGATACCCCTTTCCTGAAAGCCCATGGGACTTAAATGCTTGCCTGCTCAAGCAAACCCTTGAATGCATACTTAAAGCAATCATATGTTAGAGCTGGATAGAAACCGATATATCCTCCTCCCCAAACACCATCATTTTTTGCAAACTAGACAACTGCAGTCCTGAGGGGAGAAAGGAGCTGCTTGAGGTCCCAGAACCTCCTGGTGGAGCCTCCACTCATCCTCCCAGATTTCCCTCTCAGCTTACAGCTCTTACATGGCAAGTTCAGCACCATAAGAGCTGCAAAGTCTCCTTATTTACCTGTATACCCGCCTTGCACCTATTACAGTGCCTGGAACATGGAAGCAGCTCAGCAAACTGGGGATGGGCAAAGGAAGAGAAAAGCTGGAGACACGCAAGTAAAAATCTAGAAGATGAGGCAGAAGAGAGATTATGACTTTGAGAAAAGTAAAAACAAAATGCCATGGGGCTTCAGAAAGCAGTTGCCCATGGAGTGGTTAAGTGCCCGAGCTCTGAAGTCACTCATACTGAGCTTTCTCATTCAGGCACTCAACAAATATTCAGTGAGGGTCTCCCTGGTGCAGGGAACAGAGAGATGAGCAAGACAAACAGAGGCCCTGACCACAAGCAGAGAATCAAACAAGCAAGTAAACAGTTAATTTCAACTGGTGACAAATTCTCTTAAGGAAAAAGTCACAGGGGTAATCTAACAGAGGATGTGTGCATGAAGGGGCAATTTCAAACAACACAGCCAAGGGAGAGCATCTCTGAGGAAGTAACATGTAAGCTGAGACTACAGATGACCAACTGTGTGACTTTAGGCAGGTTACACAACCTCTCTGAGCCCCAGTTTCCTTCCCCATCTGGATTAGGAAGGCAAGGCCAAGTACCTCACGGGGCTGGAGGAATGTAAAAGTAGACGGACCTGAATCACCTGCAAACTCTTAGTAGGCATTGTGTCTACTGTCATTCTGAGAAGGTTAGAGGTTCGTGACAAGTGGGAAAGCTCAGGCGGTGAGCACGGAAATGCAAGATCCGGGCAGGATCACTCCTGTTCCCATTACCTTTTCCCATTTTCTCTTCCCTACTAGATTGCGAGTTCTAGGGCAGGGGCCAGGTGGTCTCTGATCTCCGAGCCCCCCTCTGCGCCAGGAGGAGAAGCCAGGAGCTAGGAGCTTGAGGGGCGTGGGGGTCGGTGCCACCGGACCACCTAGCAATCGCTCGCGCCAGTCCCCGCCGTGGCCTGTCCCCGCGGCAGCCATCTTGGGTGTCCTCCCCGTGGCAAGTTTCGTCACGCGGCCGCGGGGACAGCGTGGCAGGGCGTGTGCGGGCGTGGATGGGTGAGACCCCTCCCATGCCGGGAGACCCACTCCACCGCGGGAGCTCAGGGGGAGCTCAGAGGAGGTCAGGCTGCTAGAGATGGGGAGCTCAGGCATTGGGATGGCAGGGGTCTCCAAGGTGCAGGGACCCCCTGGCCCGGGAAGTCCCGGGCATGGCGAGGGGGCTTCTGACCTCCCAGCCCCGGTGTCTCCTGGCAGCCGGCCCGCGGGAGCGCGCCTCCGCTCCAGCCCGCGTCCCTCCGCCAGGCTCCCTGCGCGTTTCCAACCCACAGCACCCGGGCCCGCGGCCCACGACTCACCGCTCCCCCCCGGCCACAGCCCGCGCCGCTCTCGGGACCCGCTCAGCGCCGCCTCCAACGCCACCGGAAGCGCTTCTCCCGCCAAGGCGGCCCTGCGCGCCGCCGCCGTCCGGAGCGCGCCCTCAGAGCGCGTCCCCGTGCGGAGCCCAGAGGCCCGGCTGGGCTGGGCGGCGGCCGCGCGCGGGAGGTCCCGGACGCGCCATCGCAGTCGCTGCGCTCTGGAAGCAGCCTCCGCCTGGTCCAGGCGCGATCCTCTGTGCCCGCGCTTTTGCTTCTGGCTCCATCATGAACTCCCAAGTTCACCCTCACCGTGGTGCGGGCTCCGTGCCATGTTTCCCATTTTGGTTTCCCCGAGACCGACCCCTTACTTGATCATTTCTCAGTTCCCAGGGTCTTACATAGTCAGCATCCTCTCATTCATTCATTCAAACCATTGTTTCCCAAAGTGTGGAATTTGGCACCACTGGGGCTACAAGGCGATTTTAGGTGGTACAAGAGCCATGACCTGATTTATGTCTAAACAAGAATCATCATCCTGGCTGCTGTGTGAATAGGCTGTAGAGGAGATGACGTGGAGGCAGAGAAGCCAGTAGGGAGGCTGCCCGGGGCTAACCAGGGGAGGGATGACGGTGGCTTGGACCAGGTTGGTAACAGGAGAGGCGGTGAGAATTATTGGATCCCGGGTATATCTTGGAGACAGGTGAAATTTAATAAGTAGTGAAATTACATCATGTTCATGGATAGGAAGATTCGATTTTTAAAGTCGTAAATTCTCCCCAAATTAACCCAAAAATATAATGCAATACCAAACAAAATTCTGTCAACTCTAGTGGGTCTAAGAGTTTGGTGTATAACTTGACAGGGTGACTGTAAAATGTATATGAAAAATAAAGAGCCAGAAATAGCCAAAACTATTTTGAAGAAAAAGAGCAGGGTGGAGTGACTCATCCTATGAACACAGAGAGGTTGTGTGTGTTTGTGCAGGGATCAACAAATAGTGCAGGCAAACAAGAGGCACCAGACACACACCCTGCACATACAGAAACCTATTAGCTGCATCCTAAGTGAACGGGAAGGTTAGATATTCATTAAATGACGCTGGGGCAATTGAACCCCTACCTTAAACCATATATAAAACTGAACTTCAGGCACATTAAAGACCCAAATATGAAAAACAAAACTCCCAACTTTTTAGCAGACAATATAGGAGGGTATCTTTATGACTGGGGATAAGGATGCATTCTTAAATAAACACAAAATGGATGGAATATAAAGGAAAGATTGAAAAGTTAAACCTCATTAAAACTAAAAAAGTCATGCTCACCAACGATAGCATAATAAAAGGGAAAGAGTTCACAGACTGGCAGGAAATATTTTCAATACATGAATCTGGCAAAGAATATATATGGAGAAAATATTTAAAAGTTTTCAAATTAATAAGAAAAAAGAGAAACAATCCAATAGATAAACAAATAAAAAACAAGAAGCATGCAATTCACGGAGACGGAAAAACAAATGACCCTGATACCTAAAAACAAAAATTCAGCCTGGCTAGGGATTTGGGCACTCAGCGTAGGTTTCACAGATAGTTTTTTTTTTTTTTTGTGGTAAGTGGGCCTCTCACTGTTGTGGCCTCTCCCGTTGCGGAGCACAGGCTCCGGACCCGCAGGCTCAGCGGCCATGGCTCACGGGCCCAGCCACTCCGCGCCATGTGGGATCTTCCCAGACCGGGGCACAAGCCCGTGTCCCCTGCATCGGCAGGCGGACTCTCAATCACTGCGCCACCAGGGAAGCCCTACAGATAGTTTTTTTGGTGGGACTCCTCATTCTCAGAATTCCTAGGAACGTTTAACCGGTTTCTGTTCTTTACTACACTCTGTGCCAAGTGTTGGGCTCAAAAAGATTAAAAAAAATTCCTCCCTCAAAGAGCTTAGTGTCAAGGAGATATATATATGTAAACAAGTAGTTACAATAGATGATTACAACTCAGTATAAACATTGCAACAGCATACTTTGGGTTATGTAAGTGCGTGAGCACAGGAGGGATGCCTCGCTCTGCCCGCAGAATGGTGATGTGAGAGAGGTCTGGTAGATACAAAGTGTATCCGTTATCTGTTGCCACGGTGATGCTATAGCAGAACCACAAAAAACCTCAGGAGTATACAAAAAAAAAAAAAAAAAGGTTGTTTTTGTTTCTGCATCTATGGGTTGGCTGGCGGTTCTGCTGATCAGAGCCGGGCTCTGCAAGGCCTCCTAAGTTGGTGGCTTTGTGGGTCTTGGCAGGGTTTTCTCACTGTCTGAGTCTCCAGATAGGACATGTGGACTGACTTGGCTCTGTTCCAGGTCTCATTTTTCCAGCAAAGTTACGGAGAGAGAATCCTCAAGGCTGCCTTCACTTCTGCTTTAGCCTATTGGTCAAACCAAGTCACAAGACCAGCCCAGATTCTTTATCTCTTGATGGGATGAGCTGCAAAGTGACATTATAAATAGATGTGATATATAGACAAGTGGAGACTTGGGGGCTTTCTTTTTCAAAAATTCTTTCTTGTGTGTATTTTGCCTTCCCAGCCTCCCAGTTTCTTTTGGGGATCTCCTCTCTCTCACTTCATTTGATCCTGGTCAGATTGTCAGTCATGGGACTTTCATCTTCTCACGCCTGCCACTGCCATGGGTATGTGACCCAAGCAGAATCCCGCTCTGAATTTATATGTAGACACTGGGAAAAAGGGAAGTCATCCCCCTCCTCTGACCCTATAGGGGTTGCTAAGCTGGGAGAATGTGGATCAGGGGCTGCCAGGGCTGCTCTTTTTGCCTGTTTGCAGAATTGAAAGTAAGCTGAAAGAAGGCAAGAGAGAGAGTTCAGATGACATCACTGCAGGCCCTGGGCTCAGCCAATCCTGAAGCTAGGTCTACCTCCTAGGCTTCCAGTTATAAGAGCCAATAAATCCACCCACATAGAGTTTTTGCTTGTTTGTTTGTTTGTTTTAAATCATAAGCTCTGTTGAGTTGGAGTTCTCTCTCTAACTGACTGGGGCTTCATTTTTAAATCATAAGCTCTTTTGAGTTGGAGTTCTGTCTCTAACTGACTGGGGGCTTCACAGAAGTGGTGACATTTGAGCTGAATGAAATCAAATTTGAAAAATCAAGGAAAAGAAGGAAGATGAAGGAAGAAGAAATGAGCTAAGGTTTAAAGAATAAAAAGCAGGTGTCCACATGTGTTCCTACCATTGTTTTAAATAAACGTCTTTCAGAAAGAGCTTCCAAGGAAGCTAAAGTAGTATTTTCCACCTTTGTTGATAAGGAAACTGAGGGCTTGGGAATTCTTGCTAGTCTAGCATTGGCAAAGGTTGCAAAACCCTGGCATTTTAATATGGACTTTGAACCGTTCAGGGCATGGCAAAAACGAAACAACGCTTAAGTCAGCAAAGATAGGAGGACATTTCTGAGCATAGCAAAAGTTCCGTGAGCAGAGCAAAGATCTTGCAGAATATATCACAAGGTGAGAGTTTCTTCATGGTAGAACAGGGAATTCAGTGAGACTTAATATGTTTCTTTTAAATTAATATTTAAATGAAAACCTTAAGTTACAGATTCAATTAGCAAATTTATTTGTGATGATAAAAGAAATGCATAATCATATGAATTTGAGAGGTGTGGAAAAGTTCATGTACACACTCCATGCTGTTCCTCAGCTCTCTCCCTGGGAGACTTTTAGTATGTTTCCTTCTAGGATTTTCTTTTCTTTTCTGACCTAATCAAACTTCTGTTCTTCCTGAGCCTTATAGGAGAAGGAACATAGGGGAATAACAGTCATTGAGTGCCCACTGTGAGTTGGGCACATAGTAGACACTTTCACAAACATCTTTTCTAGTCCTCAGAGAAACACTGAGAGGTTAACTACTTGTATTAGTCAGGGTTCACTGAGAGAACAGAACCAATAGGATACATCTCCATCTCTATAGCTATCTATCTATCTATCTATCTATTTTTCCTAAGGAATTTTTTCACATGATTGTGGGAGCTGGCAAGCCTGAAATTTATAGGACAGACCAGCAGGCTGAAAGCTCCTGTTGATGTGTTGAAAGGCTGAACTTCTCTGGGCAAATCAATTTTTGCTCTTAAGGCCTTCAACTGCTTAGGTGAGGCCCACCCACATTATGGAGGACAATGTTCTTTATACAAAGTCAACTGATTACAAATGTTAACCATATCTACAAAATGCCTTCACAGCAGCACCTAGATTAGGGCTTAATTGAATAACTGGGTTTCTAGACTAGCCTAGCTAACACATAAAACTAACCATGATATTACCCTTCCCCTGACTTTATATCTCCATTCACTCTTGCCTCTAACAATTCATCCCCTGATCTTTTGAAAATGTGAATCAGATCAATTCTTGCCCTGCTTTAAAATCCTCAATGGCTACCAGTTTTATTTACAGTGAAACTTGAACTTTCCATCATAGCCTATGGACCCTCATGATCTGTCCTGTACTATTTCTGTGGTTTCATGTTAATATCACTAAACGTCCTGACTTCTGAACAGGCCAACTTATTCCTACCTCAGGTGCTTTGTATATGCTGGTCCAGCTGCCTGGAATGCTTTCAGGTCAAATATCACCTCCTCAGAGAAGCCTTCCTTGACCACCTGAGTAGGAGTAGCCCCTCCCACTCCCACTGGAGCTCATCACTCTTTTATTTCTTTTACTGCACTATTACTATCCAAAATCACCTTGTTGACTTATTTGTTGACTTGTTTCTTCTCTGTCTCTTCCACTAGAATGTCCCACCATAAGGGCAGGGGTCCTGTCTGCCTTATCTGCCACTGTATTCTCAGCTCCTTGAACAATGCTTGCTGCAGTTACCCTCCCCGCTCAAATCACGCCACAGCACCACTGTGGTGAGGACCCTACGGCCTCCATCCCGGATGTCGGACCCTGCAGCTTAC